AGTATACTTGTTGTGTGTGCCTTTCCTCCACATTGTGATAAAGGATATGGATTAGAAAAATTAGTGGGAGGAGAGAGTGCATGGCGGCCATTCTCCACCCTCCCCCAACTCCCAAGAGGCTTGAGGGAGAGGAGAGAAGAGAGGAGAGAGAAAGATAGATGGGGGAGGGGAGAATGATGGAATGGATTTGTGTTCAAAAGCCTTCTTTTATGGGTTGAAGAACATTTGCCCTAAACAGTGCCTGTGTTCATTGTGGCAGCATCCTCAAAAGCCAAATTATGGAATCAGATTAAGTGACATTGTGGTATATACATACATATTGTATATTATTATACAATTTACTCAGCCATAAAGGAAACCAGGATACTGTCACTTGCATAAATGGATAGAAATGGAAGATACCATGTTAAGCAAAACAAGTCAGGCAGCATCTAGATTTAAATGTGTGTGTGAATGCATGCATGTGAGTGCATGTATGAGTGTTTGTGTATGCATATGTTGTGTGCATGTGTGTATGTGAGTGTGCACGTGTGCATGAGCCTGTATGTGTGTGATGGAACTATGAAGGAGACCATGAGGGAGGAAGAAGAGATCTTAAGGGGGAGAAAGAGCAATCACTAGCACGGGATATGAACACAGAAGGGGCCATTACAGGGAGGAAGGGGGCCAGAATTGGGAGGAAAGGGGCTTGGCGGAGGGGGAATAATTAGGAACAACTATAAGACACATGTGCATGAAAATACCACAATTAAAACCATTTGTTTGTACGCTAGCTTAAGAAATATATATATATATTTTAAGACAGGGTTTCTCTGTGTATCTTTGGAGCCTTTCCTGGAACGCACTCTGTAGCCCAGCCTGGCCTTGAACTCACAGAGATCCGACTGCCTTTGCCTCCTGAGTGCTGGGATTAAAGGCATGCACCACCACTGCCCAGCAAAAAATGAATTTTTTAAAGTCTCATTAATGAGTGATGTTCTGTTTAAAGCATTCGTTTTTGAATCCAGCATGGTACCCATACCTGTGTTGATTTTGGACTGTGGGTTGTAACTGAAATAAATTTAAATCTAAACAAACACGAGTCAGTCTTCATTTCTCTATTACTGCTCTGTGAGCTAAGGTTTATTAATTTTAAGTGTGCAGTTTATGGGATATCCAGTTCCCTTGTGTTGTGCATTACCACCTGCAGCCACAAGGGGGCAGTACCACCCACCTGTTCTCCCCTTGGACTGAACAGTTTGGAGGAGTGGGCTGTCAGAACAGGGGGAGCTGCAGATGACTGAATGCCAACACTGGTCAATGTCCTTAGACCCAGGGAACATCTGCAGCTGGTGAACGCTACACGGATCTAAGCTCTTATTACTTGCTGGCTGACCCTGAGCTGCACCTCAGCACGGGCCACCAGGGCCTTGAGCCAGATTAACTTCAAGGTGACCTCTGATTGCTTCAGCATCTGAGTCCCTTTAAAAGCAAATTCACATGATCCCTCCGGAGGGCACTGTGTGGAATCTGACTTGCTACTTTCAACCAGCCATGCTTGAATTTCTGGATTTACCCGTTCAGCTGCCTGAGCATAATTCTTTTTCTTGGGTGGTTTATTGTATTTCTTTATAAAGTGATTCCTGAAGAGAGTATGCATGTCACTTCAAAGAAAATTGGTTTAGAGTTTGAGCTTAGTTTGCATCCCAGGCGAGGAGATGCACATTTGAGCTGCGCGTGTTCTCGGCTTCGCCTCTTCCAGGAAGCTAAGCCGTGTCTATTGGAAAGTTACAGCTGTCCTTGGAAATGCAGTGTCCTCCAGATCTGTGGTTATTGCTGGGGGTTCATCACACACAGCCTGTACTGTAACAACTTTACCTCCAAATAAAACTTTTGCCCATTTCCAGGAGGAAAAAAAAAAAAAAAAAAAAAAAAAAGAAAACCTTGCACCTTGAGGGAAGATGAGGTCTCGAAATTTGATGCTTTCCAGACAATGATTGGAGGAAAAATGACAGCAGACATACATTAACATAAAAATGTAACTGCTCAACTTGATGAAAAATATCTGCATAAAATCCCTCTGTTCCTGAATCAATGGGTGTGGTTTCTTTTTCCTGTGACATTTTGTGAGAATAAATAAATTATCTGAGAATATGTGTTTGCATCAAAAATACAGAATTTTGTAATGAACACAAATCACCCTAGCATTCTCCCTCTGGGTGCTTGATCCTAAAAGCAGGGGTGTCTGTATTCATTTCCTCCCTTCTGTCTGTAGTACCTAAGTGTCCAGCATGATGCTGGAGGTCCATCAGTGCTAGAAGTGTGGGGAAGGACTATGGTCAGGCAGTAACTGCCATGGAAGAAACTTCCCATAATCCTCCCCTGCCCTCAGTGAGCCTTGCTGTCCTTGACTTACTGTCTCCAGTGATGGCCTGAGACGATGCTGGGGGCTCATTTTACAAAGCAGTTAGATCTTTGTAGCCATGTATCTTAGTCACTTTTCTATTGCTGTGATAAAACACCATGACCAAGGCAACTCATTGAAGGAAGGGCTTATTTGGGCTTTTGTTCCAGAGGGATGAGTTCCTCGTGGTGAAAGGCATATTGTGGCTGGAGCAGCTAGTTGAGAGCTGACATCTTGAATCACAAGCACAAAGCAGAAGAGAGAGAGAGAGAGAGAGAGAGAGAGAGAGAGAGAGAGAGAGAGAGAGAGAGAGAGAGAAAACTAGAAATGCTCTGAGTCTTTAAATTGTCAAAGCTTGCCTTTCTCCAGCAAGGCCACATCTCCTAAACCTACTCACAGAACAGTGCCACCAACTGGGGACCTAGTACTCAAATGTCCAAGACATCTCATTCAAACCACCAGACCATGACATCAGCCAGTATCCTCTATAAAACAGACAGCACCAGCACATCCCTGAGAAGTACACCCATGCTCTTTCTCCGAGGAATTGGTCTGCTATTTTGTTATGGGAAATTAATATTCCATAAGGGAACTAACAAGAAGCTCAGAGGCAAACTTAGATTATGTCTATTTTCCCTAGGGTTTTTGTCTTCCTTTCTCTATTCTACTGTTCAAGGTTTTCTTTTCTCTTCCAGATCTTATGAATTGATGAAATGTTGGAGAAGTGACATCTTCAGAGAGATGGACAGCAGCCACCGAGGCTGCTCTGCTGTTTCTTGTCCCAGGTCTCATGTCTCATTACAGGAGGAGAGTGTGCCATTGTCACCGAAGACTGGTGCGCATTGAATGATCAGTCCCTGACCTGTGAGCCCTTGGGCTTCTGTTCCCTGTCTCTGTCAGGAAAAGGGAAAAGGCTTTTGCACAATACATCTTAGTGCTTTTAAGAATGGAAGCAAATCACTTGATAGAATGGAGCTGTCGTTGAGTGGGCAGAGAAGCTGTTCTTAAAGGACCTAAGAAGCATTGAGGAGATGGCTTCTCCATATCACATTGAGTTCAGGAGACTGATGGAGTCAGGCAGGAACCTGTGAGGCTAAGCTGGCTGCAGAGGAACTTTGATTGGGGATTAGAACACTTTCTGAGGTATTAGAATCCTTCCTGCCCATGTGTGCTTGCTTGGGCCTCCCAAGCTGCCACAACTGAAGTGAGTGGGCATGAGGCCTGCTTGCTGCAGCTCTTGAAGAGGTATACTCTCCTCAGGAAGGTTAGACATCTTGCTGAAGGCCTCATGGCAGGCAGAGGCTGAGCCCAGGCTGTTGCCCTTGCTCTGGCCACCCTGTTTCCTGCTGTGAGCATCCTTCTCTTCCTTCATTCTGCCCTCAGCATTGTGGTCCCAAGTAGGCTGTGCTGAAAAGCCAGACAGGGATTCAGAGGGGGAGCTGAGCATTTACCTCCCTGGTTCCAGGCATGCTTTATATCCTTTCTGTATTAAATGTCCACCAAAGACTGATGGGTAGAGTCTTTGGTCAGCCTGTGATACTACTGGGGAGTTCCGGGGACCCTAGGAAGGAGAAAGGAGTTAGGGGAGGAAGTTAGGTCATTGGGGGCCTGCCTTTGTAGCGGATATTGGTACTCAGCCCCTCCTTTTCTCCTTGCTTCCCAGCCACTCTCAGATCATGTGATTTTTCTCTAACATACACATGATGCTCTGCCTCACCACAGCCCCAAAGCAGCAGTTACCAGGTCTGTGGCCTGAGATTTCTGAAACGGTAAGCAAAAGCAACTTATGCTCCTTTGAAGTTGGATTTCTTAGAGATTTTTTGTTGTAGCAATGGGAAGCTAGCACACTTCTGTAAATAGTTCCTTTGTAAGTAAACTTCCTTAAATTACCTTACTGTGTGTTCATCGCCGTCTTCCATTGGGACCTGTAGTGCTGCACTTCCTTATTAAAGGTGATGTGTATAAGACACTTTGGGATTCAGCATTAAGCACATGAATGGTGAAGTTGGTTGGCTTCAGTTATTGGGGATTGTAAATCACATGACTGCCATCTTTTACCCTGGACATTGTAAGAGGCAATGGGGCCAGGGGAAAATGCTAAGACAGGAAAATGATGAGACCCTATAATAGATCTGATCCAACTGAATTTCTCCGGCTGCCCTTAGTTTGTGCTTCCAGCATCAATGGGATTGATTACTTCCTCTCTGACTTGTACCTGTGCTTTTGTCTTCAAATTGAGTTGTTTTGCCTCAAGCTCTACAGCCCATTTTCATATTCATTAATCAACATTTTAAAATTAGATTCCTATCTTGTGATTTTTTTTCAGGGCATGTGCTTATAGAAATGACTTATTTGAATGCAATCCATATGTTTTGAAACAATGCCTTTCTCAGATGATGTAGAACAGAATATGAGTTTTCACAATCAATTTTGTTGTCAATAAGGTAAGGCTGTAAAAGAGCCGGGAGGCACGCATGACAGCAGAATTGGACAGTCATTTCTCGGAGCATCATTCAGGGGAGCTCCTGGTATGTGGGAGCCCGTGACCACAAGCAGGGCACAGGACCATGGGAGTAGGGGAGATTCTCCATGGGATTTTAAACTCTTAGAACTTTACCTTTAAAGTGTTGGCTTCTGACATCCTTGGAGATGGGCTTGTCCCTGTAAAAGACCTGTAAAAGACAATGAGGCACCATCAGCTCACACTGATCATGCCACAACCTTGTGTACAGCTACTCTGTATGGCTAGAGTCCCCAGCATAAATGCATACGTCCCTGGGCCCACTGTTCTTAGAGACTGCTGTATGCACATGGTTGGCATTGGCTGAATATATGCAAATATGTGGATTGACACCAGAGAAGGTTGTGGTGGCCTGGGTGCTATTTGGCATAAAATCTCAGGTTTGAAATCACACTTTCTGCCATGAAAGCTTGGGGAGGACATCTAGGGTCTTAATAGTGTCAGCTTTACATCTTTCTGATAGAGAAAAGAGAGCCAGTGTATGCCACTGGATTATAATGGAGACCAGTGAACATGGCCGGGGTATGGAAGCCATTGAGCAGGCACAGTGGAGTATGACCTTTACTGATAGTAGCTCAGGTGAGATCACCTCATCTCTGTCACATGCCAGTTGTGAGGGCATGGTGAGTCACTCAGCTCCGTAGTTTTCTTTCTGTGAAATGGAGGCAAAAAAAAAGAAAATACTGCTTCATTTGTGGATGGTGGGTGTGTGTGCGGTAATGTGAGACACAGGGGCAATGCACCCAGAATGTGAGGCATCACTATGACACAGAACAGCAACAGTGTCATCACTGGGGGCGTCGTGAACTGTTAACGGCAGTGGGATTAGAAGACATGAGGGACGGAGATGATGAAGAGGCCACTGAAGTGCCAAGGCCTTGGAAAGCCTTTCTGCCCGGCTAGCCCTGGGCCTTAGTGTTTGTCTTATCTAGTGCTGATTGTGCTAGGCAAGGTTCCTGGGCCGGGGCGGTCTGAATCTCTCCCATGAACTCCGAGCCCCAGGCCTTGGGAGGGCCATGGCTGCTATTCTGCAGTTTAGTCTGGTTGGGATAGAGCGCTGGTTGGGTTTTTCTGAGACCCTGCATTCATCCATAGAGCCATCAGCTTCCAGTGGCTTGCTTGGATGCCAGGTGCCGGAGGGCTTTTGATTGTTCTCTCTGAAGCCTCAGCTTCAGTCTCCCTGTAAGTCAGTCACTCACTGCTCTTGCCCACACCCCATTGCCAGCTTGGTTAGGGCAGCAGGCAGGGCTCTCTCCACTGTACACGGATCCCACATGCTTAGGGTTTCAGGATGGGGCTTCGTCGGTGTTCCTGCTCTTTTCTCCTAGGCAGTCACATTCTGCTTTGTATTCACAGAGAAGCCTTTGTGTGTGAGGTTTCGGTGATCTCTGAAGATCTCTCTCTCTCTCTCTCTCTCTCTCTCTCTCTCTCTCTCTCTCTCTCTGTATGTGTGTGCATGTGCATGGTACAGTGTGTTGGTATCTGTGTGTTTTGATGTGGTATGTTGTATTAATGTGTGTGTTATGATGTTTTGGTGTGTGTGCAGTGTATATATTGTGTGTGGTGTTGGTGTATGTATGATTTGTGTGCATGTGTGTGGTACAGTGTGTTAATATGTGTGTGTGTGTGTGTGTGTGTGTGTGTGTGTGTGTTATATGTGTGTGTGGTATGGTGTATGTGGTGCATTTTCCCTTCAACAATGCTTAAAAATATCCACTCTCCCATCATAACAACTAAAAATGTCTCTAGTGTATACCAAAGGTCCTGGGGGGCAAAATCTTCCTGTCGAGAACCACCAGTTACAGTGCAGTATGCTGTATGGGTGAAGGACTGCTTTGCACATTCTCCCAGACATCAGGACCAGCAGCTTGGGGGTCACTGCCTCCTCCCTCAGATTATGTGTGCTGACTCCCTTCGATGCTTCCATCGCTGAGCACAGTGCTTGGTACACAGTAAGTACTCACTGAGTAGAGCACTAGTTTAGGGCGAGATAGCTGCAATCGTCCAGAGGAACTGAGATAAGAAAGGGCCTCTGTAAGGGTTATTGAAGATCCAGCCCACAGATAGTTTAATCTCAAAACTCACAAGAAACAGCCTTTGGAAATGAGGTTGTTAATGAGAAAGATAATCTACTTGCCATGAAAGCTTTCTTGCTACATCACTGATGGCTAAAGTATAATTCTGAAGGGAGGCTAAGGCCTTGCTTAATGTGTAAGGAGATTTCTCTCCCGGCAGCCATCTGTCCCTGTCTGCCCTCTCCCTCATCTCGGTTGGTTTGCTGAGATGGGACCATGGTTTTGCTTCTGAAGGGACCTGTCAGAGAGAAGAAAATGAGGTAGTGCAGAGGTGGGGACTGTAAGACGGGAAGCCCAAACCCTGCTGTGGTTGGGTTTTGAGATGGGATCTTATGTAACCCAGGCTAGCCCCAAACTTGTCCTACGGTCCAGGATGACCTCAATGGTTCTCCTGTTCCTACCTCCTGACTGTTGGCATTACAGAGGTGTGACATAGTGTCAAGCCAAATGAGGTTGTTTTTCCTTAGGAAACATATTCCCCAAAAGAAGGCCTATGTGTACACGCATGTGACAGAGTTTGAGGAAGGAGCTCTCAGATCCTCTATGTGCCTTCTGTTCTTTGTAATTGGACCAGGGCTTTTCTAGGGTTAAAGTCATGCACCACCAAGCCTGGCCCGGAAAGGGGTCTTTTATCACTGAGTGGATCTCATAAAAGGGCAACTCTGGCTCCCCTTTTCTCTCCTTCCCTCCCCCTCTCCCTCTTTCCTTCCCATCTTTCTCTTATCTTCTGCCCTTCTACCATGTCAGGATGCAGAAAGAGAACCTTTGCTGATATTGGCACCTGCAGCTTGGACATCAGACTCCAGAAGTATGGGGAAATAAATTTGGTTAATTATAAAGTACCCCATTTCCCAAAGATATTCTGTCGTATCAGCACAAGACAGGCTGATGTGTGGTCAATATCAAGAGAAACTGTGAGTCTTGTGAGCAGAGTGGACATGCCACCCAGGAGAGCTGATGGGACTTGCAGAAGTATGCTCCAATTCACTAGTGAATGGTGTCATGGAAGGGGACTCTAACAGTGACATCCCCCTTTATAAAAACCCTGATCACACCAGCAAAATCCAGTTTTGTTGAGTTGAACATGGTTTTGTAGCACTTCTGGAAGGGCACACATTGGCATGATTTTACATGTGCCTTAAGCCTTTAAAATGTTCTCATCAAGGGGTGAGTACATTAATCAAAATTCTACCACAGGGAACTGAATAGCTGTACAGCGTATGCTGATGAGCCCTCACTCACCCCAGCGCAATTTATTCTGTGACTGGACTCAGTGTGAAAAGAGAGGAGCCCCGGTATGTTAATGTGACAAGGATTCCTTGTATGATTCTGTCTCTGTAGGCAATACTGACCTGGCATGAATCAGAATATTATCACCAGTGACATACAGACCTGGGCTGAGTCTTCTTTATATTATGGTCAGCTATATTAAGAGTATTCATTATTATACATTTTATTAAAATAAAAACCTGTGTATATATCTAGTGCATTTTCATTTACTTTCCATAAAATTATCTGCAGTGCCTCTAGATACCTTTTAGGCCAGCATATAGAATATTCCTATCTGGTTTGTATAGGGATTACAGAGGTTTGGAAGGTCGTGAGACTTCTCATTGCCCAGTTTAACAGTTGACAATGCTGGGCTGAGAATCTTGGCAAAATGATGTGTTATTATCAAAATGACTTGTGTTCTTAATTCAGGATCTGAGGAATGCAATAATAATGAGGAAAGATGTAAATTCTTTAGCCTGATGCCTGGCTCACAGTAAGACTTCAGCAAATGTAAATATTCTTTCCTTCTAGACTCCTCCAAAGGCCTATGATCCTATAAATCACACTATTCAGCTTTCCCAAGCCTGCCCTGCCCTGTTCCATCATCTGTCATGATGCCTTGGGGAAGGAGATCTGGGGCAGATCTCTGTGAGCTAGGTAGTACCCTCCTCATGTCAGGTCCTCAGGGTCCCCCTTTACTCACTTCTTCCTGTCGCCTCATCCCTATATTCCAGATTTGCTTCCCAATGGGAACAGAAGCCTTGGGGGGTAGCAGAAGGGGAGCCTCCATCATATCCTTGAAGTAGCGTGTGTCTGTGGAAAAAGAAAGCTGGTAAGCTTGTGCCTTATAAGTTGGCTAGATTTGGCACATAGCCACTTAAGAAGCGTTCATACATGCTCACACTCATGGAGTCAACACAGTTAAGGTACTACGCAAGCAATTCTTTTTTGGAGGTGGTGGGGTTCAGGAAGGAGGGTAGAAAACAGGCCAAGTTTATTGCAGAATATCACAGGGCACTCTTCAGAGTAAGAGTGGACAATGACCCAAGGGACTGCTGCAGAAGAAAACACTCTCTAGTGTGTAGAGTGGCCGGAGGGATCACTGTGAAAGAAAAACAAACCCCCCAAACAAACCACTCTCAAAGAGGCCAGCAGTTCCGCCTGCACCTGCCAGAGGAGGAAATTAAGGTAGACAAGTTGACTTTGGTTCACAGCAATCCTATCAAGGATGGCCTTGACAAGCCTTCATTTTTTATACACCTGAGAAATGCTACCAGTTCTTGAGGATTTATGCTGTGCTACCTACTTTATTTTTCTTGTCTGTTTGCTTATTTATTTATTTATTTATTTATTTATTTATTTATTTATTTATTCATTTATTCATTTATTAGTTTTATTTCAGACAGTGTCTCACACCAGAGCTCAGGCCGGCCTGAAACTCTCTCTACATATAGCTCAGGTTGGTTTTCAACTTGTGGCCATTCTCTTGCCTCAGCCTCCTGGGTGCAAGTACAGGCATGAGCTACTATATCTGCCCCTGGAGCCCACCACCCAACCCCATCCACCTCTTTCCTCTGGTGGGCTCTTATAGCATGTCCCTGTTATTTATTTATCTCTTGATAAATTCTAGGATGGTGACCAGCACAGTGCAGATACTTAGTCAATGCTTTCCAGTACTGAATACAAGGTGATCGTTATCACTATTATTTTTGTTGTGGTTACTTGAGTCAAGGTCTCACCGTGCAGCTTGAACAGGCCTTGAACTTGGAATCCTCCTGCCTCAGCCTTTGAAGTGCAGGGGTGAAGGGTGTGTGTCACCTTACCTGTTCACCGCTTATAAGACAATTCTCGTTAAAGAAATTTCTGCAGATTCATGTCTGTGAGCTACGCCCTCAGAAATCAGGTGAGCTGCCTCCTTCCCTTTACAGTGGCATAGAGGACCGTTGACACTGCCCTATGTGGGGAAAGGCAGGGGTGGGCACAAAGCCTGCCTCCTTCCTTTCTTATAAGTGGGATGTTGCTACTGGGTCCATTCATAGGCTGGCAACCTGCGGAGCGAATCAGTCTTCTCTTTCTCTGCTCTCCCACACCATGCAGACTAACCTCACAAGTCCCACATGCCTGGTGTCCTGCCTGGCTACTTCTCCCATGCTCCCACCATGGGGACAGACAGGCCTAAGGCTCAAGCAGACCCTGCCCTGACAAAGACAGTAATCAAGAACAGAATTTGACTCCATATGCCACTCATCTAACTTCAGAGGAACTTTCTGAGGGTCACTTCTACTGGGAAGCCTGTATTCATACAAAAAACTGAGTTCTGGAGCATGGGCCTGTCATTGCTATGCAATGTTGCACATGGACACGCATCTTCAGACTCCCCCGGGATACCTGCGTATTCTGATTCCTGTATAGGTCTGGCTGGTAAAATTTTCATCGATGGCCATGCCTTTAGCAGCTGGAGCTCAGGATCTTCATAGTCATCATCACTGTGGCATTTTCCTCCATCCAGGACTGCAGCCAAGTTCCTTCTCTAAGTGGGTGAAACATTGGAGTGAGTCCAAGGGAAGGACCATGTGGATAAAGGTGGTATGTCTCAGCTCTGGCTTAGGGAGTGATGCTGACTTGTTTGCAGCAGATGTTAAGATTCTAGGATCTAGGATCTTACATAGCAATGTAATTCTTATGACAGAATTCTAAAGGTGCCTCCCAAATATCCTCATCTCTTTGATCATTCAATCAAAGACCCATCTTGTCCTGCTGTGAGGGGATCAGGCCGGTGTAAGTTGTTAATGAACTGACTTTAAAACACAGAGGATTCTGGGTCACCTGGGTGGGTCCAATGTTATCAGTAGTCCCAGAAAGTGAAAAGGGAGACTGTTTGTCAATGCAGTGAAAAGTCAAGAATCCCTGAAAATGAGTATAGCTTAGAGCTAATAAAAGGTTCAGCAAGGTTTCAGGATACACGGCTGGTCCCGTTCAGTCTGTGTGTATGCAATGGTAATAGCAATTAGCTTTTCTGTAAATTACTGATAGCAGTTGGAAAATAGAAATGGAAAGAACGACAGCAAAACATCAAGAAAAATTGAACCCTTGAGGACACTGGGCCACAGAAGTGAAACTTGTGCTCAAAAATCTGAAGGCATGCTGTGAAAAGACCTTAATGAATGCACAGAGGCCCACTGTTCCTGGACTGAGAACTTAATGTTGTTAAAATGGATTTCTTTAAAAACTGATGAACAGATTCAGTAGGATTAATACGAAAATCCAAGCTGTGTTTCTCAGTAAATTGACAGAAATTTTTATAAAAATTGACAAGCAGATGCTCAAATTCCTATGACCCCCCCCCCCCCCCCCCCCACTTAGTCACATTCATGTACTAAGGGAAGGACACATGAGATGCCTCCAGTCATCTGCATAGGGGGAAAGTTCTTATCAACCCTTTGGCACCTTGATTTTGAACTTCTGGTTTTCAGGGCTGAGGTAAAATAATGAATGGCAATATGATCTGGATTCAAGCCAGCTAGGTCCTGGCATTTTGCTAGGGTAGCCCAAGCAGGCTTACATGTGTCCTCATTACAGGTCTGGGGCTGAAGCCTGGAGATGGCAGGAGGGGAAGCAGTTCACAGCAGATAAATTCTCATTGAGTTGTCACAGCCATTCCTGAGTCTATGCCTGTAGGGTGGGTCTGCAGCCAGCAGCTGCTCTGTGTAAGCAGGGACCTGGCAATCATCATGCAGAGCCGCCGGGAGTCACTTTCACTCCCTGGATCTTAACTTTACCCAGAACTGACTGATGTTAGCCTTCCTTTGCTCCCAAGGGAGAAATCTCGGTGGAAGGGTGGAATTGCAACTGTAAATGGTGACTGTCTGGAAGGTCTAAGGACTGCCACGTGATGCCGGGAACTCAAGAGGACTCAGAGACATCTGTTTTCATGCACATCCCTCTTGCGGTGCCTCAAAACGAGGAAATCCTATCTTCATTTTACAAATATAGACTGACGTTGGTGACTTCTCAAAGCCACACAGGTTGTAGGTGGGCTGAATCCTTCCAACACCTCCACCTGACCCAGCACCTGAGTTAAAAATTATTTCATATCTTAAGATGAAGGGCTGAGAGTACAGGGCATTCCATAAGTGAACCACTGGGTAGTCAGCACAAAGGTGAATAGACAGTGTTAGATTGGACATGGATCCTTTCTCTGCAGAGAGAATTCTGCTTCACAGATGGGGCAGCCCTAGAATTCCTTTTTGGACTCTTAATATTTTATAGTCAAGGGTTTTAAAAAAAAACAACCCAACAGTGTAAAGTTGAAGTTGGTGCTTTATAGCCTTGACTGTATTTGTGGCTTTCTATAGTAGATTTGTAATATATGATTGGTAAATAATGCCGTAGATTTTAATAAGGCTGAGGATCTAATTATTCCTAAGGGTGTGATTTAAAATATTTATGTTGTAATTTGTCTAGTTATTAGGGTTCGGTTTAATTTACTTTTGGGTTAGATGGCCAGACGCACGCTCCTATGGGTGAGTAGAGTAATTAATTACAGCTCTACATGTTTATCAAATGGGCATGCAGAAGTAAGACTATTCATGCACAAAAGCCATCAGCCAGGGTTCCCACTGCTGCTCTGACTGGCAGTGTCAGAGAAAGTTGGAGATGGGGGGGGGGGGGAACAGGCCATGCCAGCAGATTCTTTCTCCTCTCTGGAAAAGCAGAGAGGAGTCTTGGCAGAGCCCGGTTTCTAGGTAGGCAACAGTGCAGGAGATACTTGCTAGGACCATCTGGGGAAGAATCTCTGGGCTCCCATCTGGCTCAGAGCAAGGGTGCAGAGCATGGCTTAGTTAGCTGTGTTCTTCACAGAAAAGCTGGAAGACAGGATGAGTCAATAGCTTCACCTTTCAGTGTGTTAGTCCACACTCCCAGCAAGTGCTCCATAAAGAAAGCCCAGTCAGGCTGTGTGTGAGCTGAGGACTCAGGCCAGGTATCAAGATCAGGTTTAACAGATCTTGCGATGCCCAAGCTGGAGCAGGGTGGAAGACCAGCACCTGCTCACCCACAGGAGAGGGGGCTAAATCACCAGATAAAGAGCTCCATGGTGCCATTGGAACTGTCCCGCAGAGAACAGGCATCACCACCGTGAAATTGGCCTTCTTGTCAGGTCTTCAGAGAAAAAGTGGGCTGAGATGGGACATTTTGGTTGGGAGAGTATTGGTGACAGAATGGGTGTGTGGCCACTGTGTCCTAGACCTAAGTTATAGAGGCCACATTGTGACCACAGGGAGGCTGCTTCATTTCCCTGATGCACAGATGGAGGTGATTAAACTGGCTGATTTGGTGGGAGGCTGAGCGAACACATAAAGATTCTTGGCATCTGTCCCATGACAAGGGTCCAGGGCATTAGATAACTTCTCTCTGGTTTATGCCTCCAGTGAAGCATAGCCAAGTGCTCTGAACTTAGAGAAACTATGAATGAACGAGAGAGGTTTCTGACCCACACAGTGCAGGAAGTGTGGGCATGCCCTCGAGTCACACCTGGAAATGAGTTTTTTTGGGGGGGGATGTGCAGGGAGGAGGTCCCTGGGGGGCAATGGGGTAGGACACTGCTAAAGGGCACCTTTTGTGTCCTGTGAGCTACTTTGAGCATTTTCCAGGGAAAGCCTGGAACCTGACAGAAGCACTCATCACATGAGCTGAAGTCACCCTGTCGTTTCATCCTTTGGCTAGTGTGCATGGGGACAAGAGGTGGCAGGAAGCAGAATGATGGCTGCTGTCACCTAGGGATGAGAGAACGTGCATAGGCTTCTAACTCCCTGGCTACAGGAGTGACTACAAACAGCGTGCTTTTTCTATTGACTGAGGGGGCTTGGTTCTGGACCAGTCACACCTGTCTCTCACTTATCCATCACATGTCTCTCTCAGGAGTCCCTAACTTCAGGTCTGATAGTCTTTACCCAGGAGCCACTTCTGTAAAAGCAAATCTGTGTGTGTGTGTGTGTGTGTGTGTGTGTGTGTGTGTGTGTGTGTGTGTATTCATGTGTGTGTGTGTGTGTGTGTGCATGTGTGTGTATGTGTGTGTGTGGGTAAAGGTCCATAGCTTTAATTAAAAATTTAAAGGCATACATCAAATAATGACAAGTTAATTTTTCAGATATCATCTATAGGTGTATAACATATGTAAATTGTATGGATACATAATTTATCATAATTATTTATAATATTTGATATTTGGGTTAATGTTAAACATTTTAATCTTTTCCTTTAGTTGTTAAAATTCTGGCCAGTGCTTCCAGTAGCTTCACAAAATGCTGAAGTGTTCAACATTTTTTACATTATCAAATGTTTAGTGTGATTTTTCAACATGCTGCTATAGAAACTATGCTACAAAATATCAGTGAGTCTGGTGAGATATTGGTCTGAAATGTATGCTATTTCTTTCTTTTAAACTCTCAAACATGGAATTCTAGCAAAAACAAAACAAACAAAAACAAAACAACAACAACCCACTAGGATATTTTTATATTACTCAATGAATATTGTCATGAGATTACCTTCCAAAAAGTTTCAATTTAAAATTTCACCATGTATATATTGTAAAGCACCTGTCTCGGGACACACTCACCAGCACTATGTGTTAACATTTTCACCTTTGTCTGCTATAGCAACGACCATGAGATTTGGAACTTGGGCTGAAATGCGATTTTTCCTTACCAGAAGATTCTCATGAGGCTTGGAACAATTATTTCTTTCATTCATCCGGCGACAGAAAAAAGAAGCCTAAACACCAACACTTACTTTGTAAAGATCAGAGACTGACAGTTAAGGAACAGAGCAGACTCACATGATCCGGAAGAGGTTCAAGAACCGCCCGACACCGGCCTGCCAGAAAACACAGATCATGCGTCACCGCAAACCCAGCGCCAGCTCACAGCATCGAAAGAATGGGGCCTGGTTTCCTTGAGGAAATCTTGTGTTCATTTCGATTCAGTTTTGTGACCCCAGTGTCCTTCTCACACCTCACATTCCAGCTACTGATCAGGTAGAACAGAGCGTGGGAAATGGGGTACAGAAATCAAACCCCAACTCAGGGTGGCTATGGATGCGAGAAACTCTCTTCCCCCGGCAGGTCAGCATTTTCTCTGAAAGAGACTGAAATACCCGGTGTGGTGGCACACCCCTGAAATGTTAACACTCGGGAGGTGGAGGCAGGAGGATCACAAACTCAAGGCTCATCTAGGTTACAAGAAATGAGACTATGATATGGGAAAGAAAGTGCTAGGGATATTGAACCAACAAGGCCCTGGGTCAGTCTGCGTCATTGAGTAACAACAGAAAAGGAGGCTGAGGAGATGGCTCAGTGGGTAAAGTGTGTGCCTTGGAGGCCTGAAGACCTGACTTGGAGCCCCAGATCAGCATCACAAAGAGCCTTGCATGGTGATGAGTGCTTGTATTTCCAATGCCAGGTGCTGGAGACAAGCGCTTCTCTGAGGCTTGCTGGCCAGTCAGCCTAGGTTGCTTGGTGAGTTTCAGGCTAGTGAGAGACCCTGTCTCAACAAAACAAAGTAAAACGGCAGATACATTCTGAGGTGTCCTCTGGATCCCACACACATGAGCACACATGCAAACACAAGCCAAGTCCCCATCCCCGTCCCGTGTCGTCCCCCCCCCCCCCCCCCCCCCCCGCCTGCGCACATCCTCCACTGCACACATGAGCATGCACGCACACACAAGCATGCCCCTCACAAAACAGAAAAGACAAATCAACAAACAACTGAAAAACAGGGAGAAATGATGGAGAGGACTCCACATCACCGAGGAGGAGGCTCCCCCAGCACCCTAGCCAGCACAGCACATTTACTGAGCTGTCTGTACGCCTGCCTCCTCCAGTGCCTGCCACCACTTCGTGGGCAGAGCTCACGTCTCTTCACGAATCTGTCCCCAGCTCCAGGCACACGTCCCAACATCCAGAAATCGAGCCACTGAGTTTTTGTTAGACCGATATAGTTCAGTTGAGGCTTCTCTCAGCTCCCCCATTTGGACTCATTTATGAAAACGCCTTAAATCATGCAGCCCACTCAGTATTCTGGTCTAAAATTTACTTCCAGATTATGCAAAACCACCCAAGAACTGCTCACATGAGTGAAGGATCTTTGTTCCTCGTAGACTGAAAGTTCTCTAGTTATGTGGTCGTTTTGTAGTTATTAGTCTGTGTTGAGGAATATGTAAAGCAGAAAACAATTTTAAGATCATATCTGTTTTATCAGCACACATATGAGATGTTTCCGTTAGGTTTCAGGACCAGAAACTGTGAGCTTCTTAACAATGTGTTCACTTTGATTTTGTGGCAAGCATTGTTTCTAAGAGTGCATGCTGTTCCCTTTTCTTTGGGCTGCTAGGAACTTTAGGATTTATTGTGTGTAGTCATTGTATCACTGTCCCCACAGAGTACTGTGGGGTCTCACTTCCACTGATGCCCTGCGTTCCCTACATCTGCCAAATATGCTTCACGTCCTCTTGGCCTGTGTCTGATTCATCTGTAACCCCCCACACACGCTTAGCATCTCACACTCAGTATCCATTGCCATCTGATGTCATGCTTCCTGGAGCTTCCATCTTGGCCATCCAGGCCACATTTATCTCATTAAATCATTCAGTACACATTTCCTGTCTCTTCCATGACACACATAAAGAGCTGCAGCATCCAATGACTTCTTTGCTGTGGGATGGTCTGTATGGCAAATGTGTTGCTGATTAGTCAATAAATAAAACACTGATTGGCCATTGGCTAGGCAGGAAGTGTAGGCGGGACAAAGAGGAGAATAAAGCTGGGAAGTGGAAGGCTGAGTCAGAGAGACACTGCCAGCCGCCATGATGAGAAACAGCATATGAAGATGCCGGTAAGCCATGAGCCACGTGGCAAGGTATAGATTTGTGGAAATGGATTAATTTAAGCTGTAAGAACAGTTAGCAAGAAGCCTGCCATGGCCATACAGTTTGTAAGCAATACAAGTCTCTGTGTTTATTTGGTCGGGTCTGAGTGGCTGTGGGACTGGTGGGTGAGAGAGATTTGTCCTGACTGTGGGCCAGGCAGGAAAACTCTAGCTACACTTCCTTGTTGTGAGTCTACCTGTCTTATTTCGGGAAGATTGCCTTGTATCCTTGTCCCAGATTTTCTATCTGTGCTCCCATTGGGGGAGAGTTTGAATACATAATTTTAAGCAGAGTCTTAAAGGTGTATATCCATTCATGTCCCATCACCCTGGATCGACAATTCAGATTTGTGAGTCCCACCCCTTGCTCTCTTTCTCATACCATCCAGTTCTTTCTGCAAAAATTTAGTAGTTACTTTCTGTTGCTGTGATAAATACTGACCCAAACCTGCTTCTGGGAGGAAAAGATTTCGTCATTTTACAACTTATATTCTTTCATGAAGGGAACTTGTAGCAGAGGCTGTGGAGGAAAGTTGGCTTATTGGCTTGCTGCCAGGCTCATGTTGAGTTACCTTTCTTAGACCTCCAGGGACCACCTGCCTAGGGGTGGCATCGCGCCCCAGTGAGTTGGCCTCTCACATGTCAATCATTAATCAAGAAAATGCCCTACAGACTTGCCTACAGGCCAAGCTGATGGAGGCCTTTTCTTATTGTGGTTCCCTCCTCCCTGATGACTCTAGTTTATGTCAAGTTGACAAGAAACTAACCAGAACACTGAAATTCTCTCCCATCTCAAAGCCCGGCTTAGCTCCGCAGAGCTCTGCCTCGGGTTGGCCCTGCATTCTCCGCTTCCCTGCTTGTCTCTTTATAGTCTAATTTTAGCAAGAACCCTACCAAGTCTGTTTAGCCAGAACCCTCCTCCATGCTGCATCACCAACCACGTCTAATTGGGATCCTCGCCTTTTACCACACTCTCCAGGTAGAAATCTCTTTCCCCTGGCTTGCCTTCAGTAGGAATCTTGTTAGGCAGATTTTATCCCCAATGTTTCTTCTTAGTAATTGTCCACCTGTGGTCCCGCCCCAAGCCTGGACTGTGGATTCCCATTTTTCTTTGGTGGATTCAGACTGGGACCACTCTCTCTCAGCTGCACACCCCTTTTGCTGTAGTCCCTCTCTTGACCTGTGCTTCTTTAAAGATATTCAAAGGATTTTTTTTTCACCTTCTTCCCTCTGGACTCCACACATCAGACTGTTTTCGAGTCCCTGTAGCCCTCCATGCTCTTCTGTCTTAATGACACAGTGCATCTTGTCTCTCTGTCTAGAATATTTCCCCTAGCTTTGCCTGTGCCTGGATCCTTTCTGGTCCTCAGATCCCACTTAGACTATCTTCTCCCTTGGTAACATCTCTGGCCACCCACCTCAGCTGTTAAGTCAAAGAGCATAGTTCCACTCTGGTTCCTCCCCTACTACCCCCCGCCCCCCAGCCCCAGAACCTTGTCTGGCAGTGGGGGTGACTTTGCAGACTCACCATGCCCCATTTCCCTTTCTAGTGGGTGCTCAGCTGAGGCACACCTCCCAGCTCTCTAGGCACTGGTCAGGCACGGTATGTGTTGTGAGGTAGATGTCACTGAGGCTGGCTATGGCCTGCTGCGCCCTGCATACAACAATTTTGCTTCAGCTAGTGGCAGAGTCAGGGACAGAGGGTCCCAGGGTCCTGAGGCATCTTGCAAGATGTTGGGTAAAGGTGCATTCACATCAGGTTGAAATGTGAGCAGGGAAGCTGCCCTGTTTTTATCTCACCGCTGACTTTTGTAGTCCATTCATTATAGTCCTGCCTAATTAATACAGTGTTTTATGTTTCTCCATACATTTTACAGTCACAGATCATGGTGCCCGCCCCTTGATAACACCTATAGCTCAGCATATTTCAGAGACTGGTGGAATATGATAAGTGCATACCACAAGAAGAGTCATGTCATATATGGCACATGGCTTTGTGGAAATACCCCCAGAGTGGGGCCAGTGACAGATTCCTAGAATCTCAAGTAGACAGACCATGATCTCCTCTTCCCTTGCTAGGTGAGCTTGGACTTGACCCTTTCTCTAGCCAGGCCCCAGATTTCCACTACAATGGTTCATTCTTCCTGGAACTCAAGCATTGACTGATGCTGTGGTGTATGTAGACCCTGAGTGCCAGTGGTTCTAGTGGGGGTGTGTGTGATGCAATCTATCTGGGGTGGCACCTGCTCCCTGCCATGATGGTTCTTCTCATGGCAGGTCTAGAGCAACAGAGACAACTGACTATGCGCTGAGTCTCTGACGCTATGGCCCCAACCAAACCTTCCTCCTCGTCTGCTAATTGTCTCAGGTCTTTAGTCACAGTGGCAAAACGCTAACACACTGGCTTTCCAGAAGGGGGGAAAAATAACAGAGAAAGGAAGGTGCTTAGTAATCTTCCATATCAGTTCCCAAATGGTGAGGAGTGGCCTGAGGAGCTGGGGACTCCCTCATCACCCATAGGCCCCGATTAGCTCTAGGGAACACTTGACTTCTGGGTGCCCCTCAAGGAAAACATCCTTTTACAAAGAACAGACCTTTTAAGTTCTTATTAAGAAGGATGTGAAGATGAATTTGTGTGATGTAAAGCTCAGGGCTCTGCTGACAGCAGACAGCAAATACTCCACCCCTACAGCCGGCAATATCCACAGTTGTCCTCTTTCTTCCAGAAGCAAAGCCAAGGATGATGAAGTCATAGCGTCAACATCTTTCGAGGTAAGGTCCTCTGTTCGTGGCACTTGATTTACCTCAGGTGTTTAGACAATGAGATGTGAAAGGAAAGAAAGGAGGGGAGATTGAACAAAGGTGGGGCCCTCTGTAAATCGGAGGAATTTGGTCTACTTTTCATATAAGTTTCCATGGCGCCATTCATTCAGTTTGAATTTTGAGAAC